TGAACAGTTTCTGTTTCCTCTGTGCCTCAGTGCTGAGCTGATCCTGTCCCTCCCCCAACAGCAACATAATTTGGGGTACACTACCGCCACCTACTGTGTCTATTTGTACATGGTAAACAGTGAGGCCCAGAAACATTACAACTATTTTAAAGCATGTGTTTTCTTATAAAATCTCTACATGCTGTGTCTTCAGCTCTACACAACCTGATAAATGGAAATGACTGAGTCATTACAAATGCATTCACATCCACTGTGATTCAGACATCAACGTTGACAGACCACCAGGGCGTCAGCGTCAGTCGGTGGGTTTGGGGGCAGAGGTTGATTTACTAAATCAACAGTCCTCTAGTCAATCGCTGTGGGACAGCACACGTGTCGTGGAGTGGTGCGGTGCGGTTAGGAGCAGCATCAACAGAGACCACCTTTAAGTGCGCTCTGTAAATCTGTGGAGGTTTTTTTTGCTTCATGATCTACGCGTCAGGACCTGCAGCCGCATCTTTTACCAAAGAGATAAATGTCTCGTGAGACATCTTTACAGGGGTCAAAGGAGAGGTTAATGTCTGATGGTTAGCCCAGAGACAATCCCACTCGGTGTGACACAACCACTCTTACACTTACACACACACACACACACAAGTGTGACACAACCACTCTTACACACACACACACACACACACGTATAGTCCACCTAAGCACGTGCGCGCGCTCAAACGCACCAAAGACAAATTGAATTAAGCAGCCAATGTTTTTTAAACGAAGATTGTTAAATCACAAGCCCACAACACATTTAAGACCCGTCCCCCCCTCCGTCCCCCTCCACACACACACACACACACACACACACAGCAGCTGACACTCCTGTGAGCCTGTATTGACCTTTGGCATGCATAATGAAGCTGTTGTATCACTCCAGTAAACTGCTAATTAAATTGGGCTGAAACAGCAGCTCGGCCGGGTGGTGAAAAGTGCCGATTAGGCCTGTTTGTGCTTTAATTAAAATCTACTGCCGAGGTTTCCCTCTGGAAAGGTCTCCACACATGCACACATGCACAAACACACCTTTACATCAACATTAGGAACATTTTGTTTTTGTTTTGTCACAAATGTCTGCCTCAAATTATTAACTTTATATAAATCTCAGGTTTAAACATTTAAAGTGTTTTATGTATATTTCCTTTGAGTATGTGTTTAGAAATATTATAATCACAAACGGGCATTTACACATATATATACATATATAAATATATATGAAGAAAAAAGTAAAATAAGTATATAGAATATATATAAACATATATAAATATATAAATGTATGAATTTATATACACACACAAAGAACAATACATATACACACCAGTGTATAACAATATGTATATATGTATTTATATATATTATATATTTAAATACATAGAGAGACAAAATATATGTATATATATTTTATATATATACTGTATATGAAAATTTCTGAACTATATTCACTTTTGGTGAAAAGTTTAAATATTCCATTCTTACCAATGTATAGACATAAATAAATAAAAAAAAAACACTATTAATTTTGAAGTTTTCTCATGTTTTTCCTGCAGCTGTCATGTTCCCACACTCTAATATTTATTTGCCACCTTTTCTCCGGCGGCACATCTATCTATCCACGAAATAATGTTGTAAATGTATAACGGCTCCGTTCTCCCCCCCTCATGGCTTTATTCGGCCATTCCCTCTCCTTCACCTGAGAAACAGAAGGTCACAGTGGGCCGCCCCCTCCCCTGCAGCTTTATGAGCCTTATAATTAAAACAGGGAGTAAATACTGGAGGGAGTGAAGGGCTGCTCTATAACTCTTCCCGACTTATCACCGTGTCACTGAAGCGAGGAGATATCCGTTACTTTCTCATGCAAAAAAACTCCTCTGCTGAGGAGACTTTTTGGGCTGGAGGTTTGCCGTCCGCTTTTCAGGTGCCAGATCATTTAAAAGAGGCCATTGTTGTTACCTCTGCGCGTCGGACAAATCTATTTCCCAGGGTGACCTATACAGTAAGGGACTAAACATATGACAGTGTCCGACCCAAGGACTGGACATTGATTATTGATGGACAACAGCACTGAACTTGTGACCTCATTCTCCAGCTTAGGAAAGCTGTTTTTTTTAACTCGTTGGCTCAGACCACCCATTAAAAAATAATTAATAATTTGAAACAGGAGCTGGAAATGATAGTGGAAGTGGGGCAGTCGCCCAGTGTTGCTGACTGCTGCAGTTTTAAAGTCAAAGGATTTTCTGCCTGTTCCTGTTGTAGTAACAGACTTCGTGCAAAGAAACTGACAGTTTTTTAGTTTTTAAACAATGTGAGTAAAATAAAAGACTGTATTACACATTTGAATACTAAATATATTTTAGTATATATTTACTAAATATATCTCATAATATTAAAGGAGACTAGAATTAAATTTGATCCAATCTTATCTCGTCTCATCCAAGCAAATCAAGTTTAATCCAATCCTGTCCAAACCAAACCAATCTAGTTTAATCTAATCTAATCCAATTTAATTAAATGCATAAAGCACACATAAAATTGAATACAGAGTGCTGACTTCAATGTATAAAGCACATAAAATTGAATACAGAGTGCTGACAATACAAAACAAATACATAAATAACATCAATAATTTAATTAATTAAATTAAAACCATAAAAAGGAATTAAATGTGTTTAAATATATTTAGGGATTTTTTCAGATTTAAATTCAGTTGGACATCAAGTCTCATCTGCTCTGGGAAAATAACCAGCGTTCTTATTTCTTCCTGTTTAGGACATAGCTTCTCAGAAGTTTGCCATGCCGTCTCCCGTCCGCACCGTCATCGCCGCGGACTTTGACAACGACAACGAGCTGGAGGTGTTCTTCAACAACATCGCCTACAGGGGGCCCTCTGCCAATAGGCTCTTCAGGTACTCACAGTAATCCAACACGGCCACACACACTAAAACACACACATGTCGTGCGAGTACGGCAGTCATTTTAATAGCCCTTTAATGACGAGGCTTAATAGACTATTCTCACCTGGTGATTTAATATTCTAAAACAAGGCTTCGAAGCTGAGAAGAATTTAAAAAATCCCAGCCGAGGAAACTTATCTCGCCTGGCATCCCGCCTCCTCCTCCACACATGAATGAGTCTTTCATTAAGACAGTTTTAGGTCTCCTCTCTTGGATCACGGTTTGGCTTCCTCTCCAGATAATATTAATGAGCTCAACATTCAAAATGCAATATACGATACGTATCAAGTGTAAAGACTTAACAGTGGAATAAACTCGTCCTGCCTGAACGGCCATCTGATCTGGCTCTACCTCCCTCATCACAGAGGCTGAAGAAATCTGGACGCATCTCAGCGTGAGCTCCGACCCAACATTCCTGACTATCACTGCGGGACACTCTTTTGTTTTTCTGGACACTCGGCTGCTCTGACAGGGGTCACTGCTCCACAGCTCAAGGCTGAGCCATTGTCTTATATAAAGATTAATCAGCTAATTTAACTCTGCTCTCTAGCACTGGGGAAAAAAAAAAGAGCTTTAACTTTGTTCCCGAGCTAATTAATTTAATACACCTAATCAATATTAAGCTGAGCTGTGGACTTGAACAGCCAGGATCAGCACATTAGTGCACTGTGAAATGAAATTATAACTTATGTGATGTTGGATGTAAAGTGCTTTGTCGGTACTGTTACTACACTGCGGAATTTCAAAGTCACAGCAGCAGCGTTCAACCACACAACCCTGTGTACTACGACACTGTAGCAAGAGAATAAAAAAGCAGCAATGACAAAAACATCACAAAAAAAAAAAAATACACTTAATAGTAATCTGATATATTTGGAGCTGAAAATTCATCATTTTAAATGTACACTGTTATAAAGAACATCACAGAGCGAAAGAAACAGAATATGGTGGAATTTGGGACCTGAAGAATTAATACAAATATCCTGGGCTTTTTTTCTTCGTTAAGTTAAGGGACCTATAGAATTAATACAAACAGAAAAGTATATTTCACCTCTGACTTCCTGGGCTTTTTTTCTTCGTTAAGTTAATGGGGATTTCCTTCTAATCCAATAAATGTAAATGTCCAAAAGACTGGATGAATGTAATTAGTTAGCAGCCCAGACTGTTCTTAATTAGTTTCCACAAAGTAAGTAAGTGCTCATTTGCCAACATTGATTACTTGGAAAATCTTAAGAAATAGAGGAAGATTGTGAATTGAAAAAAAAAAAAAGAAAGAAGAAGAAAGTTAGTGCCCTGGTTGTATTCTAATAACAAATCTAAAATAAATGTTACTATTTAATGTTTACTGTGCTCATTGTACAAAATTAGCAAGTGTTACTTATAAATATATATAAACATATATGCAGTATTTTTATACTTTTTAGCCTTTTAACTAATCAACGTCTAAATCATTTTTTTAATTTCAGTTACATGTTGGCCTTGTTATAATCGAGGCATGTGCTGATGTAAATGTTAAAATAGACGTGTTCACACTGCTGTGCTGCTGTGGTGTTCAGGGTGAGCAGGAGAGAACATGGAGATCCACAGATAGAAGAGCTAAATATCGGAGATGCATCTGAACCTGAAGGCAGAGGAACAGGTGAGTGGAACACAGAACCATGGTACGAGAAAAAAAAAAAAAAAAAAAAAAAGCCTGACACCTGGCATTCCCAGACCTCACCGTTAGATGGCGCCAGAGCTCCAAGTGTGCTCTGAGTACATCTACCGCGTCAGCCAGTAGAAATGACTTGTTCCACACAATTACCTTCATGATGCACAGTGTCCATGCCCCCCCCCCCCCCCCCCCCCCACCCCCCTTTACGAGGTGGATAATTGATATGTACGCTGCTTTATTACTGTGATGGATCTCCAGGGGCCGTCGCCACGGACTTTGACGGCGACGGCCGCCTGGAACTGTTGGTGTCTCACGGTGAGAGTGCAGCACAACCGCTCTCTGTCTACAAAGTCAATCAGGTGAGTGTTTTTAGGACATGTGACACCCGGAGTTGGACGTCTCAGCTCAGCTGAAACCCACCGCCCCCTCATTCCTGTCTGTGTCCCACAGGGCTCCACTAACTCGTGGCTGCGAGTGATTCCTCGGACCAAATTCGGTGCCTTTGCCAGGGGAGCCAAAGTGGTGGTGTACACAAAAAAGACGGGCCCACACACACGGATCATCGACGGTGGCTCAGGATACCTGTGTGAGATGGAGCCTGTCGCACACTTTGGCCTTGGTAACTACCTCCTCAGGACCAGCACCACTGTTGAAATCTCTTACTGTGTGTGTTCTTACATCAGAAATGTGAGAGAAAGTTGTTTTCATTGATCCATAGCCAAAATAACAGTGTCTTATTTCAAATATTTTCACATCTGAACCACTGTCTGGTGGAGAACAAAGAAACAATGATAAAAAAAAGACATTTCTGGCGAACATCATTTTACAGCCATCGTCCTGATTGGACACCCAGGGGAGGGTAAGATATCTGAGTGAAGGAGCAGGTTGGACATGGAGGAAGGGGAAACATGGGAGGTTTGGGGGGCAGGTGCTGCAGCTGGACACCTGCCTGATTTGCCCTCCCTGGACAGTCTGCTGGTGGCCATCCAGACCACCTACAGCCCACCCACCACTTCTCCCTGGCTCTGCTCACTGAGGCCGTTCAGCAGTGATCTGCAGCAGAGGCCCTCACTTTTACTGCCTGGTTACTCATAACACATTCTGAGGGGCAAACTTTCCACAGACTGCAGCGTCAAAGCTGAGCCGACCTCCAAACTGCGTCACTTTGAGTGGCCCTGTGAACCCCCCCCACCCTTCCTCCCTCCTGCCCCTCCCTGGGGTTAGAGAGGAGCGAGTGTTTGAAGGCAGAGAGCAGGTGAATAATCTGGGGCTCTCAGGCTGAACACCTGCTCAGTGGATCCACTGTGAGCGGCCGAGCGGCAGCAGATCTGTTTACATTGAGAAATGCCACTTTAATTAAGGGCAGCAGAGGTCCTGTGGAGAGGAGTCCAGTCTGTGGCCGGTGGAGACAGTTAATGGACCTGATGTGAGAGACATCTTTGTTTCTGGTCCAGACCAGCGCTGTACAGTGAACAGAATTAGCTCTTTATGCTAACGCGAGCACAAGTACAAATGTTTAAGTGGACTTGAAGAATCACCTTTACTGTCACCGTTCATATACAGACAATGACCTTTGACCTCAACTTCTAATCCATCAACACAGTCATGGGGAGCAGTGATGTCACAGAGGTAATCACAAAACAACCAGCCAAGACGGGATTCAAACCCGCAAATCCTCTTAACACTAGGACCATAACTGGTCCAAACTACAAGTACAGTTATTATTCTACTGGAACAGAGAACTCGATTTCAGCAAACTAGCATAAGCAAATATGTTCAGACCACTGTTTTCCAATCTTGGGGTCACAAACCCACGTGTGGTCACCTGGAATTCAGGTTTTTCAATTGGTGTTTTGACTCGCATCACAATCACAGATTTCTGTCTTGGACAGGCAAAGACGTGGCCACAAACGTGGAGGTTTACTGGCCAGACGGTCACTCGGTGGCTCGACCCCTGGAGCCGTCAGAGATGAACTCTGTGCTGGAAATACACTACCCCAGAGACGAGGAGGAGTTCACCCCCACTGTGGAAATAGAGGTAAAGCTGTGATTGGTTTTTAGAGGTGATTTAAATCTGAAGGTCGAGATCTTCGATATACTATGTAACGTAATGGCTGACCAAAATAGGACATTTATTTTTAGCCCCCCCTTCAGGACAGTCTGGTTATGCTTAAACTACACACACTGCATTAAAATGCAATATTGTATTTAACAGTGGCTGCACAGTCAAGTGATGAAGAGCTAGACTTCTAATACTTGGCTGGTTTTTAAATTTTCCCCACGATGAATAAAAGTATACGGAGGCTAATACTACTGCTAATACTATGCAGTGGGCTTTCACTATGCAGTATTATGTATATAAAGTTGGTTGGATCATGAAGGGTTAAACTGTCCAATCATCAACATCACTACCTTCACTGTCAATATTTACTCAAAAGTATCAAACAGAGTACTGCACCCAACACTTGATTACACTGATTAAACCATGTACTACAGTACAGTATGTGTATGTGTACTATTCAACAACATTTGTCGTTGTGTCACCTCCTCACAGTGTGGTCATGGGTTTGCGCTGAATGAGAACGGCCGCTGCACAGGTGAGTTGTCTCTTATATCTATTACCCTGTCGACTGTTCAGTCCCAGTTTGAAAAGCAGTGTTTGTCACCCCCACCCTGACCCTCCCCCGACTCCTCCTCCCGTCCCCTCCCACAGATCAGGATGAGTGTACCCAGTTCCCCTCTGTTTGCCCCTCTGACCGTCCTGTCTGCACCAACACCTACGGCAGCTATAAGTGCCGAGCCAGGAAGAGATGCAACCAGGGCTTTGAACCCAGCGACGATGGGTCGGCCTGTGTGGGTAAGTGGATCAGGGTGATTCCAAGCTTTATGACGTGATGTCGTCATGAGTTAACATCACAGAAGACAGAAGACCTGTGGGACTAAACAGACCCAGTCCATTAACTGAGGACAGATTGTCTAATGATGACAAACCATCATGATCTCATTGTAAATATCGTTATTACCACTAGAGGGCTTTTTCACACAGTTAATTGTTTATATCTATTTTCATAGTTATTTCTGTACCACATTAATGTTTTTAGGTAAAGCCATCACTGTTCTCTAAGGTCATACAGTTCAATGGAATACACAGCAAACTCACAACTATCAACCATAGGACAACAGCAGGTCCTGAACCAGACAGAAAGAAAAAGGAGTGGACAAAGTACTGTCTGACTGTCTCTGTCTTCTGTGTCTCACTGTCTGCAGCTCAGGTGGCGTACTTTGGAGGGGTGCAGTCCTCTGGAGGACACAAGTGGTCAGGCCTATATTTCTGGTTACTTCCCGTCTCTGTGCTCCCACTGGTCTGTACTCGTCTCCCTAATGGACTTCTTTAGCCATCAGCGACCGTCCTCCCCGGCTCCTAACTGTGTCCACTGTGGAACAGGAATGTACAGAATCTTACTGAAAAATTAAAAAAAACAACACAAAAACAAACTCTCTTCACTGACACGTCTACTTCCTGTGCTCCTCCGTGGATGTACGCTATCTTCCTACTAGAGTATCAGTCATCACAGTCTCCATCCCTCCTCCACACTGGGCTCCCAGCCCCCTGCTGGACTGTAGAGAGACATAAAAGGGAGCATGCTCGCTGGGATCTCTGACGCCTCGACCTGACAATGTCACGCCCGCAGACGCCCTCACGTCATCACCTGGCACTAGTCTCGAAAGGACCTGAACTAAAGCCAAGTCAATAGGTGGAGCCGCGGTGCGTGAAGAGAACTGGCTCCACCGTCCACGTTCATCACCGACGAACGCTGAGGCTCCACGTGTATCTGCACCGCGTCGCGACGTTAATCTCAGCTACGTCTTTCTCATTCCTAATCTGGGCTCACTGATACGCTGAGAAACAGCAGGTCTCTGTGCGTCGGGGTCCGGCAGGTATGAGAGGTCTAAAAGAAACACGAGCCACAGCATCTGTAGTAGTAGCTGATGGAAGGATAGTTTTTTTGTTTGTTTGTTTTTTGTATGAAAGAAATGAAACATCAGAGAGACATTTGTGTACCAGTGTTTTGTGTATACTGTACAAGCACAGCAGTTTACTTCAACCCACCATCATTTATGGGGCGATCATAAACTGAGCAACAGCTAACAATGATATTTAATGTTGTTGACATTAATTGTCGTGACACCGTGTTCAATTAATCTTTACTGCTCATGCCTAATTAATCAGAGTCAAAGTGAACGTGAAATTAGTGACGATAACAAGGACACGGTGTTGTTTCTTTATAACAATTTAAAAAAAAAAACCTTAAATATATTTTTTACGACGCAGCTGTCAAGGCAACTTTAATCTACGCTAATTGATATATAAATTGTATGCAGATTGTAGATACAGACTGTATGAAATTAATTAAGGATTAAGAAGAGAGAGATGTTTCTACAGGATGTTTCAGAAACGTGGTTATGCAGCAGATGCTAATGACGATGAGGAGTTAGTGGGTTCACAGATTTGAGATGATTACATGAACAATAATATTTGGACATAAATCAAACCCAGTGTTTTGGTGACAACTCTGGTCAGTTTTTACCAGGTTAAGCTCCTTGTCATTATTAATAAGCGAAACGACATGTTGTATAATCCAACACCAAGTGAAGTGGTCACACTAAAAAAGACCAAAATCTAATGCGACAAGTCATTTAAAGTGTATTTTTGCCTTCAAATGTGCTCAAAATATAATTATCAGTACAATGCAACATGAACAATCTTCTTTCCAGGCACTTTCTAATTCAATTGTTATGAGAAAACTTTACACCACATGTTTCTATACCACTGTTTTACTATAACGTCTACAGAAGTTTGTATTGAAGTCGATGAAAAGGTTCCTTTATTCTAATGGTGTTAAATTTGCGAAAAACTGTCGACGACTAAAGGTTCTTGTTCTAAGGTCACACAGTCTCCCAGAGCCAGGAGTTAAACCAACAACCAACCCACTCCACCTCCTAAACACAGTCTCATCTGCCTATTTGGCCTGAAGTCATTACTGTGCCTTCCTTCACTGTGATCAGTTTGGTTAGAAATAAAGCAGGAAGTTTTAATGTGACACAATGAAAGTCATTATTGCCAAACTGCCACATATTTTCTGAGACTAGTTTTTATTTATTTATTTAATAAATACTCTGCTATAAAGAATTACTCAGACGTGAAAACACAGTTTGAAACTGATTGAAATCGACAACAGCTTCAATTCTCCACTAAAGAAAAATCCCCTTTTCAGAAGCTTCAACACAGTTAATACTGTACAGGCAGAGCGACTGTACTGGAGGGAAACCACACGGAGCAGCAGAGTCCTCCAGAGTCAGGTCTCCGTACGGACACACGTGTGTGTGTGTGTGTTTCATGAACTTCCCTTCGTTCATATTCTGAGGTCAATGTTACATTTCCAATGTCTTTTTTTTTTTTTTTTGCCAAAAGTTCATGCATTCCATTCAAGAAACAGCACCAAGCACAGACCCTGACATCAGCCTGTCAGCGAGCTGGACTCAGCCAACGTAGACCACCTGTAAATATCAACCATTTCTGCTGAGACTAAGCCTATTTTTTATTGCTGATATCTTATCCTCACCGGTCACGTTGACTCTGCGACTCCTACAGGTGCAGCTGCAGAGATGTGGTGATCACCACGGACATGTCTTTGTTTCCAATCACACTCTTGGATCAGACTGAATGTATCACGAAGGTCACGTGTGTGTGTATGTAAGATCACAGTTTGCATGAAGATCCACAAGTGTAAAATAATCCTGCACGTGTGAAAAAAAAAAGTTCATAATGCTGTACATTCATCCTGATGTCACTGCTCAAAATGACAAAAAAAAAGATGACGTATTGTGTCATTCCCTGCAGTAACTGCTGTGGTGTTGGTTTAATCCAGTGGTTCTCAACTATTTTCCGTCATGCGCCCTCTTGGGGACAGAAATGATTCCACGTGCGAATTGAAATACTATTGAGAACCTGATAACGTATATATTTATCTGTACAAACCACTGTATGAGTTGCTGCCACCTAGTGACTGGAGGCTTGTTTTCACCCCAGGGGGGCCGCCCCACTATTTGAGAAGCACTGGTTCAATCTGACACTGAAGTTTGTAAAGAACTGGACGTACTGATGATGACTGTCGGCCGTTCTGGTTCATGTAACTCAACTCCCCCCGTGTCGTAGTGACTGTATTCACTGTAGCCAAACAAACACACGGAGTCTCTACAGTAACGGCACAACGTCTGTCACTTCAGAACTAATACTCATGTTAATCTGTTCTGTGTCCTGTGACTTCACTGGACGAAGCTGAAGAAAATAAAACAAAAAACAACGTTCACACAAACACTGACTTTTTCTGCACCTGAACGCGGACAGAACCTGGCTGACAAAGGTAGGATCAATGACAGTCAAGGTCCTGCAGGAGGAATATTTTATATCTGTGTGTGTGTGTGTGTGTGTGTCATGGTCACTGCCAATGTTATTTCCCTGACACACGGCCCCAGCTGTGTTTCTCTCTGCAGAAATGAACAATAACTGTAGGTGGCTGTGAGAATAAACCTGGAACACACAATGTTAAATGTGTGTGTGTGTGTGTGTGTGTGTGTGTGAAGGGGACTCTGGATGACCGTACGTGTTGATGTGCAGCCTGTTTGTGTGTAGACTTCATCTTCCATGTGGAAAAATAATCAAAATACATGGAGGTTTAGTTCAGTGGAGAACAAGTTACAAAAATGCCGTTACACGATGTGGTCAGTCTTCTTCTAAATCAACAGAACAACCAGAGGTCAGAGGTTAAACAACCAGAACAACCAGAGGTCAGAGGTTAAACACTGCTGGTCATGTCTCAGTTTTTGTCCCTGTCAACCAGTCGTTAGGAGCAGAAGGAAACACAACACGCTGGTCCGTGATTAAACAATTTGATTAAAAGTGACATTTTTAAGGTGAACCACACAGTTCCAGCCCCTGACGTTCAACTGTGTTTTTAAGGCAGTATCGTGGGCTGCACTCGGTGAAGGTCCGACGGCAAACACAACACAAGGGCTGTCAATCACACGGAGGTTAAAGAGAGTGGACAGAAGATGATGTCAAAGGCCAACAGTTAATGTATGTGAGAGAAAATCTTTAAAGAACGTTAGAAACAAAACAGCCTTAAATCAAGCTGGTTGGTTTACACAGAAATTTGTGAAAATGTTATTTTATAAATATATTTTTTATGCTTCTTTTCTCTTTGTCTGTGTTTCAAGGCTTTGAAATTTGTTTTTTAAGGTTTATTTTTAGGATAACGATAACTGAAGAAACTTCATTTAAAATTTGAATTGAATTTGAAAAAGCTTCAAAAAAACGTAGTCCAAAGAAATCGAAACAACGTCCCATGTTTTTGCTACGCTAACGACTGATGTGAATTTAACTGTGAATGGTGGTTTGTGTCCGAACAATGGCCCAGTGATGGCCTTATATACGAAATAGACAGAGCGACGGCAGCTTTCTATGATTCAATAAGGGAGATTAATAGAAAACACGACAGCAGCAGTGAAACCCCGTCTGACTCGACCACAGGCCTGATTTTCTTCTTCATGGCTGGAGCTTCTCCTGAGAGCCTTTGGATTTGATGCATTACACCCAGGCACAGCGCTGTAAACGACACCATAACGACCGCACCGCGCCGGCCAAACTGACTGCCAGTCATAATAATTTCTGGAACGCAACAGCAGCGACAGTGGGAAACTGATATTCTGTCATGTTAGGAATAAACATGTAGAGCTATCAATACTAGAAAGTGACATTTCTTCCCCCCTCATCTGTGTGTCCTTGACTCGGACAAACACCGGCCGTTTTCCTGTTTGGAGAACGAGGAATGTGAGGTCAGGAAGGGTGTGGAGAAAGTGGAGAGGAGGCCGAGTCGTGAGCCAGAGAACACGGAATTTTAAAACATGGAAAGTCAGAACAATCAGCGCAGGAGCCTGTAGAAAAAGGTTCAGTGAAGAAAGAGAGTCATTGTGGAAGGAGAGAGAAGCCTGTGAGTCACAGAGTGACCTTTCCTCACAGGTGTCCAGACGGTGTTCTGGAGAAGTTATCACTTTAATCTCCCCCGTCCTCCCCCGTCCTCCCCCGTCCTCCCCCGTCCTCTCCTCTGATCTAAAATTAAGCCTTAATATTAGCCGGAATGTTATCACTCATTTGTGGCCTTATTAAAAGGCTGTGATGGATCTGTACAGGTCTGATATGTGTACACACACACACATGCTGACACACACACACACACACACACACACACACACTTACACAAATGCTGTAGAGAAATAACAGTATATTAAAGAAAGAAGAAAAAAAACAGGGCCATGTAACAAGTTGAGATATAAAACACATCTCAGAAAAAAAACTGTAATTGCATTGTAGCCACTAGGGGGTAGCACAACAAGCACCAAAACAATGTAATATTTAACTATACAGTTGCCATACAGACACATTTAGCACCACGAGACACAGCCAGAATATAAAACACAGTCAATTATGTTTTTATCGACCGTTTTCTTCTTCTTGTGGTTAATTTGTTATAAAAAATAAATAACAAAACCATAACAAAACTCTCTTAATCTTAAATCTTAGAAACCAATTCACTGTAAATCTATTTGAGAGGAGGCACAGCCAGACATTGCCTTTTGTAAACATCTGTTGGTAATGAATACTGACGCCAAAACAACACTGTCCGTCAACTGCGACAACATTCAAATTTGTGGACTAATCATCCCAAAACTCCTCCTCAACTCCATACCTGCACTGAAAAAATAGGTTGAATTATTATTCTTGACATTTTTTTCTGAACGAGTGTTTTATTCAAACACACCCCTGGTAAGCACAGGGCAAATGAGGCGTTGCACCTATGCATTTTTTGCCTCTAAGCAAAAGGAAATCCTGGAGATCCAGTGGCCTGGTTGTATGACCAGCACCGGCTGCGGCCAAGTCTCAGTGTGTGGCCTGTGTCTCAGTGGGTTCCTGCAGACGTAGGTGTGTGTGTGTGTGTGTGTGTGTGTGTGTGTGTCAGCTCCTTAACAACATGAAGTTAACCCTGTCTGATAGACATTTAACAGCATCCAGAATAACAACATATCATTAGTTCATCAGATTCATAACAAATGCTCATCATGAATAATAAGAAGAAGTTCATAACAAAAAATGCTCATCATGAATAATAAGAAGAATTAATGAGGACAAAGATCAAACACATGTTAACGACCTCACTTACTGTACAGTAAAGAGAAAAACTGCATTAGGATTTCTTCGACTTTCAGCAGCACAAACTCTTTATTACCACGTCGTTAAGGATCTAAAAAAGAACCAAACGATTTAGGAAGACGTTATAGTTCACTGTGGACCTTCTCTCTCACAGAACAAATTGTACCACCAACAGACCCCCGCCCCGCCCCTATATCCCAATACATACACTGTACAATTCATACAGTACAGGATAAATATATTATTAATCGTCTCTTATCCAACATTATTCAGATACATACGTAATAATATCTTACAAGTCGGTCTGCCTTCATCATCTACATCATTAAAAATAATTAAAGAAATTAATTGCTGGGGGTCACCACAGGAGTAGGCTGCATCCTGACACAACCCACACTAGGATAGAAGGACTGAGTGGTCCAGACCATCTAGTATTCACACCACTGCATCAGTCTGGACCCCCATGTCTCCAAGAACAGTGGAAAAAAACACAACTGAATATATTATTAATATTGACCATCAGTGAAGACTGGTACAGTATATACAACAGAATAAAAATGAATATTCTATGAATTAACCTTTGACCTTGGCACTCTCTACAAACAGATTTCTTCCCCAGGACCCTCACTGTCAACTCTAGGTCATCCTCCATAATTGTACATTACAGTATTAACAGTATTTAGCATTAGCTACTTTAGCAGTTCTTCCACTTTTGACAAAATAAAACTGTATTTTTTTTCTTTCAATAAAAAACGATTACTTGCCGCAGCGACTCGCTGCTTGTACAGCTGCTCTCTGTCGTCTGTGGTTCTCATTCATCCTGGGAAGTTAGTCTGCAATTAAGTTCAAATATTAGCAACAGAACTGGCTTCAGTTCCTGGAGATGTTTCACCTCCGGTCCAGGAGGTGTCTCCAGCTCTAATTGGTGGAAAACTTTAGCATTTAGCGCTTCTTTTTTTTTTTTTTTTTTTTTTAAATGTTCCCCCAGAAACGTCAGCCACCACTTCTCCTTCTCCTTCCATCCAAGTTCTCACTGGTGTATCAATATTCACATACATGTACAGGACGGCTTATCTACGTCTGTCTTTATACATCGTCCAATGAGCTTCCTTGTTTTTAACGTGGACCGGTCCTTCAGCTCCAGGACGGGTTTCCTTTCCACTGGGATGAAACATGAAGGCGTTGAAAAAGCACCAGAGGTGGAACACAAGCACAACTGAAGTCAGCAGCAGCAGGGTGGGATCGTGTCGTCCAAACAAGCACCGATATCGAGTCTGATTAAACTCATTACTCTGGACCCTGAACAGGATGGATCTGATATTTCTAGGTGGGTTTAAAAGAAGGAACAAATGGAATGGTTTAAAACCAATATGAACATGACAACGTAAAAACACACGGTGGAACACAGTGGAACGTTCTATCTCTTCTTTTTCTTTCTCTGGAGGTCGTGTTTTTACTGAGACACTGTGTGGGTGTTCTGTCTTCCGGCCTCAGCAGTTTTTCCTCTATCAGTATAATCTGTTGTCTCATCAGCCGGCCCACATTGTACACAAGAGTCAGACAGGACTCATGAATTTCTAATTAGACCGCGAGGTTCTCCTTCTCAGGCCACGGATAAACGAATTATTACATTTATGTTGACAGCCATAAATACATAACGCTAATATATGATTTCAAAAACCTGCTGTAGCTGCAGTTACAGTTGTGTTTTCAAATCAACGACCTTTTTTGCCGAGGTGTCAGAGAAGACACAAACGAACCTGGACTCTCTGTAAAAGTCTTGGTCTGATGTAGTGACCTGTGGAACGTTCCCACAGTAAACAACCAACTCTCTGAATGTGGTTCTTCTCCCACTGCACTCATCCTTGAAGACCTGCCTACATTTTCTTGGGTTCCCAACGAGCTGAGACCACAGAGAACATTTTTAGCTAGTCGCTGCCAGAGTCTGGGATCGTATCTGTGTGTGTGTGTGTGTGTGCATACTGCATGTGCGTAAAGATGTCTCGAGATAAGCCAAAGACGTCCACGCCACCACACATTATGTGCATGCATGTCTACACACACATCTGTGTTAGCAGCAGGGCGGAGTGTGTGTGCACTTGTGTGTGCGTTTGCATGAACGCCGTCGTCAAACAGAGGCATTAACAGTCAGTGCAGCTGTTTGATACCGAGCCAAACACGTGTGAGCGCTGCAGCCGACCCCTGCAGTCCTACTGCGGCTCAATTTGCATGCACTCACAGAAGCCTGACCTAAACAACCTGACATGAACGCATTCGTTCACCGAGACGTCTCTCTCTCTCTCTCTCGCTCTCTCTCTCTCTCTCTCTCTCCACAGATTAAATAAATGCTGCACAAACCTATGCTAACTACGCAACAACAGATGGAGACAATGACAATGACATCGCCCCCCCCCCCCCCCCACCCCACCTTCCATCCCCCCCACTCCACTCCCACGCCACTACCAGAGACATGAGTGTGACTCATGGAAAGAGACGTGAAGGAATGAGAGAAAAGGTGAATGGAAAAAAAAAGAAAAATGGGAAAAAAAAAGAGGAGGATTATTGTGGTTTGGATAGCTGCTGGAAAGTGAAATCTATTCCCCATACAGACTCTATGATTGTTGGCTCGTCCTGCGTGAGCCTATTGCTATTGTGTGGGTTGTGTTGCACTTGTGTTGATTCTGTTGCGTATCCAGTGTGTTTGTGTAAACCGGCTCTTGTTCCAGAGGTGGTGTGTTATTCCTCTGCTGCAGGGAGACCGTGAATGATGTGGCTCATCTCTATGCATTTTTCTCACCGCTTGTTTTCAGAACCTGGTGCTCTCATGCTTCAGCATGCGGATGTTGGTAAATGTCCCGCTGCCCCTGTAGTGGAACCCGTAACCCTGGCGCTGGTCCTCCAGTCACCGAGCGCTGCTGCCTGCTGATGACATGCTGCTGCTGGGGCTGGAGCTGCCCGAGCCTTGGTCTTCAAAGACGCTGATTTCTAGCTGGGAAAATCAGGGTTAAGGGTCATCTTAGCAAAGAAAAAAGAAAAAAAAGAAAAGCATTTCTACAGTTTGAGAAGTTTAAAAAAAACGGAGAATCTAAACCAACTATCCTGTCACATTCAGTTTTACCGTGGGTGTAGTGTAAAGCTGGCTTTCTGCACTGGTCTAAAAATGCATGCATGTTGATCAGCAGCCATTTCCATGAAAAAAAAAACACAACAGCATCTTGTGTTTGATTTTAAAATAAAGCAAACGAGACAAGCTGCCACATTTGATACATCAGGACTGTTCAAACTAATGCCGTTTTCCCCAGAACTGGACCGGGACATTCCATGGACTCGGCCGTTCACATATGATGAATCCCAATAAGACGAGTTGAAACTGAAATGTGCAAAAGACGTTATTTCACAAAAACTGTGGTCGATATTCAAATACAGCTGTTTCTGTCGTGGATGAAACCCAGCAGTGAAAAACTAAACTTGAGGGATAATGACATTAAACCACTGGATCTCAAAGTAGGGGCAAAACCCCCCAACCAGAGCGTATGCTTGGCTTAATCAGGCTCTTTTCTTGGTCAAGACTCAGTGGAGAAATTGATTATTATTTTTATTGTATTTGTAAAACCAGGAATAACAGAGTTTTCGATAAAATTCAGTAGAATTTTGTGACTCGGGGTTGGGCAGGGGGTGGAGGGATGGATCACTACGGAAACATTTTAGGACCCCCGATTGGATTCTGCTATTTGATCAAAGGTCAATGCAACATGAACGGCTTTAACAGGACTTTACCGTGTATTTAATTCCAGATGACACATTTGGTCTTGGCTAACAACTAGTAGAGCCATGTAAGGATGACAGTTGCAGAGCGGTTTAATTTCCTATGTTGCTTTATGCTTGAAATGTTATTTTGAGTACGTTTAGGAATAAAAAGTGTATCTTTGCACTGACTTCCAACATGACAATTCTGTTCTCTTTTTAATCATAATGACAGTTCCTGCAAAACCTCTTTTTTTTTATCATAATGACAGTTCCTGCAAAACCTCTATCATCTTGGTGGTTGGGCCATTAACCTTTAACCTGATATATATTGAAGAAACCTGGAGGACAAAAAGACACTGAAGTCTCCAGCAGCCTTCACAGAGACCATATTGTACGGTAGTGAGATGACTAATAAGTGCTGGTAAATGGTTGGCCCCACTCAGTTGGAGCCTGTTTCTTCAGCCAGTTTGGTCCAGCCCTGTTTGATGGTCCACTGGACACATTCTCTGCTCCTGCCTCTGCCCAGCACCGGGGCTGCGTTCAGTCTGACTGACACCACAGACGAGCTGTGAGGACTTTGATAAAAGACAGATTTTTTACAGCCACATTATTTCCAGCGTCTAATTCTGAAATAATAACAATAATTAACCCCATCAGCCTTTCATACCTCTTTGTATCAAGGCATTTAATGGAGCATGACGTGGTTTATTTTTACCCCTGAACAGCGCCTCTACAGTAGCAGCGCTGCTTCGCTCGAGGCAGCTCAGTGGTAATTAACGAGGAAGAGTTATTTATTTGACAACGTTTCCTGCAGTTTCAAATCCTCCCTGCGGTGACATGAACTCATTAATCGTATTAATTCATGAATCCTCCAAACCTTCAGCTGCCCTGCTCTTCCATCCATCTTATTTATGTCTGACCGTTCCGTCCGGGATATTTATCTTGGTGAGTAAAGGATACCACCCTCATGCCTCTCTCGATGGGGTCCATGAGCAGCAGACCTCGAGGAGCGTAGATCTTCTCGTTCTGCTCCTGGATGTAGCCTGAGATTTTCTTCAGGATCTGGAGCAGAACAAGACAGAGGAGAATGGGTTTGAACACGGCCCGGTTTTCATTTGCACAATTGGAATGAAAATCCAAACATGCTGTTTAATGCAACAGGTAATCCATCATTTAAACGTGTTTTTACAGAGACCCCTGTGGAACATATACAGTAATAACCAGTCAGCTGAAGAAGTGAATGTTAACTGTACGCTCTCTGCTGGAAAAAATGAAAAATGGAAGGAATGATTTTTGTGGCCCGTATACACGTAGTTAGCCTACGGTACATGATACCAAATCTCTCAAATCACGACCCGTCTTTATTTTCCCTCCACATTGTAAACTAAACTCAGAGTAATTCCATTATGCTCTAAGTACAGCAATGACTTTTTTTCATGCACTGTTCCAAGCCACTCATGTTGAGCAAAGCTGCATGAATTGAATTACTGAAACTGACGAGCTGCAGTTTTTTTTTTTTCTTCTCCTTCTGAAGTTTTCCATTTAGAAGCTTCAGTTCCTAATTCCAACAATGGCTCTCTTGGGCTAAATGTCATGCCTTGGTTAACTGTCGGAGCAATTTGGAATCACTGAATAAAACGTGGAGGGTTTATTTAGATTGCAATGCCACTGGACCCAGTTCCCAGTTTCCCAAGTCAGTTTTACACAACCGACAGAGCTGACAGTGAAGCTGCTGTGGCAGCGCCGTTCAAAGAAAACTTACTGCGTATTTTTCTGTCTTCCAACAACTTTATACGCTGGAGAATAGAACAGTGTTTTACACCAGCCGTGCTCCGCCAGACGGGTTTGAAGTGATTACAAGCGAACGACTGCAGACTGATGTCCAGCCGTGCTAAATGAGCAGCTATCGTTACAGCAGCGTAATCATATTCAGCCTGATGTGCTGATGTGACGCTCCTCTCCCACACACTGTTGAACCGTGTCAATTAGCTCAGCTGAGCTTCAGCGGGCCTCGTGTCCACGGAGGAAACTCTCAGCTCGTTGTAACATTAATCAGACGCCAAACTCAGAGCTCATCATTCGGTGGCTGCCATTAAATATTCACTAACGAGAGCACAAGTGTGTGTGTCTGTGAATTGTTCAGATTTAGTGGTGAAATATAAAAAGAAAAAAATACTTCCTCGCACAGATTTAAATATTCTTTCGTAGAGCTGATCTTATGTCACATTATTGTCAGTCACATGTGATTAAATCCATGAGCATAAAAACAATGAATCGTATTTAAATGGAAAGCATGTAGGAATTGCCTTCTACAATAAACCGCACAATCATTTTGAATCAAAATATTCACAGATTCACAGCAGGTGGCAGTAATGCAACACAATGAATCAGGAGTGGATAGTTAAATGCTTTAAGTATTAATTCAAACTTTTTTTTTCAAAATTTGGGTGGGGGTTGCAGAAGTTTCAGTTTCATTATTATTTTTTAATGTAAAGTTTACAAACTGGTGGTTCACGTTCATGATGAAATATTTCTTCAGCCTGACGAGTTATCTGAAGGTCAGTGCAGCACATTCTGCCTTGAGAGATTACAACAGTGCACAGCAACACACTACTGCAGCAGTGCTTCTTTGAGGGGTCAAAGGTCAGTTACAGCTTCAGGGGCAGCAGCAAATATAGTTGACTCTGAAATACTGTACAGAGAGGAGGATAAAGGCATGAGAAACAACCAGACTGCAGGTGTTGTTGATTCCTGTGTTTTGTTTTGTTTTTCTTCGTTAAAGCTGAGAAAATAACAGGATGGACAAATTTACTGCAGTCAGAGCTGCAGCTCTGCTGACAAAATGTATCGACTGAATCCTGGCTCTGAGTACATACATTTAACTTAATCTCGACTGAATCCTGGTGGACGGCTCTGAGTACATACATTTAACTTAATTACATTCTTAATTTGCAGCACTCCATTATTTCCCTGGGGGGAATTGAGCTCAGTGTTTAACCTATTTATGAACCACTCCAGTGATTAACACCAGACTGACTGATTTATAGTCCAGGGAGCTAAAACACACAGGACAGGGATTCAAACCTGCAACCCTCTGACAGCAATGATACATACAATAAATATAAACTAGACACAAATGCATTGTGGGTCACACTGAGGGAATACAAACTCACTGAATATTTACATCCATCCATACCTTCTCAACCAGCATGAGCCCAGCACTGACTCAGCCTACAGTACAGAAGTAAAAAGAAAGCTGTTATATCTCACTCTTAGTCGTCAACAAGTGTGTTTCTAAGTTCATTTGTTCATTCATCTTCTTCACCTTCATCCTTTTCAGGGTCAGAGTAAACTGCAGCTAATCCCAGCTGCTGTGAGGCAAATGCATGATACACTACATACATTCCCAGCTGACCAGTCCACGGCAGGGCTACTGACCAGTGGTCATGGCTAACTCCCAATGGAACAGGATTAAACCACCAGGCCAACCTTGTTTACTGCATCTACCTCCGAGTGTCAAAGTGGAAAAAACCCAGCACATAAATGCTGTTTATTTATATGCAAATCAGGCAGACACGGTTCAGGTGTGATGAGATCACTGAGGATGTGTTGGAATGCAAGACACGCACACAGCCTGTGTGATTACACCCCCTCAAAATACAAATCAATATTTGGCTGGGAACCTCGACAGTTTGTTTTCACAGATTTTCACTGCAGACGGAACTGTGTCTGTCTTTTTAAGAGCGATCCAACCCTGGAGTTCAACCCTCTACAGCCTAACACTGTGACAGCCAAGGATTCAAGCTGCTGTGACCCGCGTGTGTGTGTGTGTGTGTGTGCGTGTGTGTGACTGGCCTCCCAGTGTGTATCATGGAATGTGTCTAGATCCTGGGAAACAGCGTGTGTCACAGTCTGCTTCACAGTCACCGTGGTGTGTTTATGGCACCAAGTCCAGCGTGAAGGTTCAGAGCATCAGGACTGTACGGCTGCAGGCGTGAGTCGCTGCCAGTTAACAACACACTTCCAAAGAAGGGACGCTGAAGTGCGTCAAAGATTCCTGCATGTGTGTGTGAGTGTGTGTGTGTGTGAGTGTGTGGATCTGCTCCAACACGTACTGGCTGCAGCAATCAGCGCTCTTTGATTTGACAAGTCCAGTGACTGTGCAGGATGATGGTGTGTGGCCTCTTTATCAGCACTTACACAACTATGTGCACAACTTGGGTGGGTTTATTTAATTGTCGGCTGTGCTGTTGTCCTTCATCCAGGGTTAAGCAAGTCATGTTAAACAAGTAAATAAACAACTCTCTGATTTGATGAAGTCAGTGGAGCGGCGCCCAGCTGACAGGAAGATGAAGGAAGATGAAGGAAGATGAAGGAAGATGAAGGAAGATGAAGGCAGCCTCCGACCTGCGTCTTTCTGCGTTCAGCTCCGTTCTTTTTTACTTCTCGCTCACACTGCCGCTGCCCTCTGATAAAGAAATGTTTACAAAATGCAACAAGACAAAGGAGCAGAACGGCATGCTGGGACTTGGACTGCACACAAGAATCAAAGAATCTCGCTCGAATCAAACAAACAAACAAAGCTGCGCAGCAGTTTAATCAAGTGCTTCTTCTTAAGTGGGACACACAGGGCCCAAGGTAAATGTCATGTCACGTCCTGCCCACAGGCTCACAGGGTTCTGTCTCTCAGGTAAATGTAGTGGAAATCAATGGATGGACATCTGCCACCAAGAACACACAGGAGAAAAGCACAGACTTATTTCCTGTTCTTTCCTTCAGCTGTCCCCCGTGGGTTTGTGTAAATAACATGTTTTGACCTTCACAATCCAGAGTTTGTTATGAGGACACTCAATATAAGTCATATGTGAGAGATAGAGAACAGGAAATCATTACAATTGGACAAATAAGGCAGTAAATTAGCCTAGGGATTTATGACAACCAGCTGTTAATGAATATGATGAATGTGAAATTGACTTTGGAAACACACAGGAGACTCCACATCAGGGATGGAATCTGCTGTGTGTGTGTGCAGTCCCGTCTTCTCCCAAAGCTTGTTCTGAGACCTGGATTCTGGAGTTTTCCCAGAATGAAGTAAGAGCAGAAGGAAAAAGGAGTCCCCTGTGGACACAGGACTGTCCTGCCTGCAGTCATGCAGATCTGTGGCCAATCAAAACTGTCTGGTGTGTCCAGAAGAGGAGAATCAGACTGAACTGACCGACTGTTGAGTGACTCCAGTCATCAACCAACAGGGTTGTAAAACAGCAACGACTTGTGTTTTTTAGTTCTTAAGTAGATTTAGAGAGAGCAGTGAAAACCAGTCTTTCTTCACCTGATACCAACACTTTGGTTTGGTCTGAAGGAAATATCTGACTGACTGATTATGCACAGTCATCCCTGCACAGTTAGAAGATCTCGTGTTTATTACCTTCTCGTAGCGTGTCTCCATACACAGGAAGATTATGTAAACCGTTGCACAGGCCAGACATCCTTCCAGGTACGACTGACCCCCGATTTTTTCAGCCTCCGCATAATAAGAGTTCAAGGTCTTCACCGTCTCCTCCAGCAGGGTTGGCTCAATCTGTTCAACAGCACACACACACGGTAGAGATGTGAGGACACACACAGACACAGGAACATAAGTGAGTGAAGTGTGTGTGTGAATGGCCAAACGAACCATCTGCATCCTCGAAATTTGTTAATGAAATCAAAAACAGAGAGAAATTAGAGCTCAGAGTCCAGGTTTCAGCTGCAATGACTTTGACATTTGGAGGAGGAAATACTGCATTAAAACACCATTAATTAATAATTACACAGAAATGTATTTTATATAAGTAAAGGTCTTTTAAAAAATGCTGTAATCAATTCTGGTTCCCTGTATAATTACAGTATATATAAGCAGGTATTTTAAAAATGATGTAATCAATTCTGGTTCCCTGTATAATGAACTTTTAAAAAATCATCTTACTGACTGTGTTTTGTCAAGAAGAAATATTTTTCGTTCCATTTCAGTCACATCATGAAAGCCTCATTTAAATGTAAATTGTTGCATAATTTTCAATCATCACAGTCCAGACTCCAACCCTACGAGACTTTTGTTTGGCGTGAATCTTGAAGTGGTACAGCCACTGGGGCATGGAAGTGTTGAGTGTTAGTGTCTGCCTGTGTACTGACCCTGGTGTCAAGCTCTGACGGGAACTTGGTCTGGAAGCGGCAGACGGTCCCTTCGCAGTAGTCTCTCTGTATGAACACCTTAGTTACCAGTGATACACTGTGCCTCAGCTCCTGTAGGTTGTGGAACTGCAAACAGAAGAGAGAACAACACACACAAGTGTCAAATCTGTGCCCAAAATATCTTCATATTGATGTTGAATATTTGAATCTAAGCAGAATCACTCATTTCCTCCAACAATATTATTGTTCAAAAAGAAGAACTCCTTCTCTGCTGGGCTCAGGCTGCAGCCATAAAACACTGCCTGTTCTGTAGTTACAGTGAGAGTCAATATCTCAGTATCTCAGCCACGACAAGTGCAGCACGTTTAGCTTTTTGTTGTCCAATCGGTTAAATTGCAGTTTTACTACCAAAGACATCCTGTTTAAATGATGTTGTTGCTGAGTGTGGTGTTTCACCACCCAAAACACATTTCCACTGGAAAGCACACAACCTAAGAGCTACTGCCACGGTGTTACTTATCCCCCTGCTGATCTAAATTACTCTGCCCCAAGAGAGGGTAATTAGAGATAAAGCAGCGGCAGAGGGGGGGAATGGGGGGGATGAAGGGAGGAAAAGCAGGGGAGTGATGAAACAGGTTGAAAGTATAAGAAAAAACGCCAAGGACGAAGGGTTTGTAATGATTTCTGAAATAATTAGATTACAGCCCAATTGTCCAAACTCAACAGCGAGCGGCTCCAACGTGAACTCGCTCAATTTTATCTCCTCGACACCAAAGGCACCTTGTGTTCCGTCCTGCAGAGTGATTGTTCTGCAGAGAACCTGCATGTAACGGCCCTGAGAGAGCCGAGAGAATTCCCAGAAAAGCAGACGCGGCGGAGAGCCGCCGCCCTGGTGTTTCACCACCCAAAACACATTTCCACTGGAAAGCACACAACCTAAGAGCTACTGCCACGGTGTTACTTATCCCCCTGCTGATCTAAATTACTCTGCCCCAAGAGAGGGTAATTAGAGATAAAGCAGCGGCAGAGGGGGGGAATGGGGGGGATGAAGGGAGGAAAAGCAGGGGAGTGATGAAACAGGTTGAAAGTATAAGAAAAAACGCCAAGGACGAAGGGTTTGTAATGATTTCTGAAATAATTAGATTACAGCCCAATTGTCCAAACTCAACAGCGAGCGGCTCCAACGTGAACTCGCTCAATTTTATCTCCTCGACACCAAAGGCACCTTGTGTTCCGTCCTGCAGAGTGATTGTTCTGCAGAGAACCTGCATGTAACGGCCCTGAGAGCCGAGAGAATTCCCAGAAAAGCAGACGCGGCGCAGAGCCGCCGCTCTGTGTCTGTGTGGAGAGTATCTCTCACAACCAGGAATAACATTCAAGCTGCTATTTCCATCTGCCAGCAGCCAAAACAGTCCCACTGCCACTAGATCTTCCCCACTGCCAGAGCTTTAAATATCCTGCTTGTTGCCTTCCCCTGCCTTTGTCACAGCCCCCCTCCCCCACTCCGCCCCCTGCTGCCTCCAGGCCGCAACAACAAACGAGTCGCTCTAATAAAAGAAGCAATTAACGGCATGTGATTGAGTTTTATTTATTCGGGTTTGGATGTGTGGCCCTGGAGGACGACTCATTAGGATTTAGAGGAGTTGGTGACTGAGGATGTCTGTGGGGGTACAGATCAGGACCACGTCACAGTCATGGTAACGACCTCTGCAAAATGTTGAGACAAAGTGGAAGTAAAATTCACAAAGGTCAAAAAGGTCACACGGTGAATCTGTGTCTGTATTTACAGGTTAACTGGTAAAAGAACTGGGTTTTAAGGTTTTGGTTTAAACCATGTGCTTTGAAGAAATGGAAAACAGTAAAAACTGTCAAAATATAAAAAATGTAAAAGTATAAACACAGAAATGTGCAAAATATTTATCCTCACAGAAATACTGAACATGAACAAAAAAAGGGATTTAAACTAGCAACCACAGCAACTGAAATGTCTAGTAATTGTTAAAACAAATGAATACTGATAAATGTATTTATTTTTATATATATATATATTACTTTTAAACTTAGTTCAAAATATATATTTTTGATGGTTTGAACTTTGTTCAAAATATATATTTTTGATGGTTTGGTTTATGTCTCACAAATGTCCTCCTGCATCAGATGATGAGATGTGAGTCCTTGAGTGAAACATTCTCTGTTTTCTGTCAGTAAAGTTAAATATTCCATAACTTCAACATTAAATCTTCCACAGTGGAACGTTGAGACCCAGAGAAACATGTTTGCTGCTGCTGAGCTGCTGCCACTGCTCTGAGTGGGAGGGAAACAGTTCCAATAGAGTCTGTACCTGGGTCTAAATAAAGCACAGGGCCAGACAGACAGCAACATCAGTGTCACACCAACTACAGCCGCCTGCCATGACGCTTTGTATTTTCATTCTCTGTCTTTCCCTTCTGTCCACACCTCGTTTTATTTACATATTTCTATATAATGTAAAAAATAATGGTCATGATGAGATGTTGTTCTTGACAGAAAAAAATGGGTTTCATTTTACAAGGATTATTTTACGTTCAGATTTTCTGCTTCGTCAGGGGTCGCTGTAGGGACTAGGGTTTCACAGAGAGAGGGTTCAAATACTGCACCAAACATGTCCCTTTAAAACCATATAAGGTCTGTGTTGTTCACTCCTCAGTTTACAGATTATTATAAGAAACTTTAATTATGATTTTTTTTATGAATGTTATGACTTTGATTCCCCCAGAAAACCATAAATTACTGGATTTTAAAAAGCGTTGACAAAACAATTCATTTCCATAAACGCTAGAGGAGGAAGATGGGGAACTTAGAGAAGGAAACTTTGTGCATACTCTGTACTTGGGTGGAGTTCAGTATTCAGCTGAATTAGAGCCAAGCTCTTAAAATACTCCCTAACCTTTCATTAACCTGCAACATACTTTTTATCTAACAGTGATGGACTGGAGCCAGACACAGAGAAGAGAATCACGAGGATCAGAGACGGTCGCTGCAGCACCAACACTTCATCCGCTCTGTGAGCTACTGCATACGCTGACTTAGTACACAATAAATAAATGAATGAGTCGTAATAAAAAAAAAAGAGCGAGAGGCACTAAAACACTCAGGGAGAGAGAGAGAGAGAGAGAGAGAGAGAGAGAGAGAGAGGCTGCTGCATCTTCTTCACCTTAGATATGTCATGGATAAATGATGAGCCTTGGACATGCAACCTGCTTTTGCTAGTGCACGTGACGTTTTGTACATATGAGGTTTGGTGCACACACACGTGTGGAACAGATTTCACTTTGACATGAAATCTGACAAAACAAGGTCACTGTGCCAAGGACCAGCGGCTGATGATAAAAATCATCACTAGTCCGGGTCAGTTCAAGATTCTAAACCAGATTTGTACCTACAGCTCCATCGTTAGCTGGATGCTAACAGGTCGTCCTAGCATTACGTTACTGTACACTGCCCTGTTAGTGAACACACCAGTTTGTAAAATCATGACAGTGATACATGAGGCAGCTACACCTTCAGCAGTGTGTCCACAAGGACACTGAGGCGGAGGAGTGAAGGGGGCGGAGCCAGAGATGCTGTAAAAACATAAACCTCACATATATCTTAACTTCTTTTGTGAAAATGACCAAAACTTTACTTCACTCTTCAGATCATCCTGTTATCGTGTTACTTCATTGTTAAACATCCAGTTCACTGAAACAGTTCGTGTGAAAAGTTTCTTCTATTACTTTTATCTGCAACAAAAAACTTTAAACAGTAAAATGTAACAATTTCAAATCAAACTTGTTTTCAGAAGCAGTCGTTCAAGGGTTAAAGCCATGAATTTCCATCTCTTGATCTGACAAATACAACTAACAGCTGGCAATGATCCAACCACTGATCACATCTGCAGCTGAATGCGTTCATAATTGACATTTATATCCATCACATTCTGACTATTTGTAATAAAAACCAACACAGATGAAGTAGAGTGTGTGGCTGTAGATGAAGCCGACACCATACACTGCTAGTGATTAGTGTAGGGACAACTCTGTACGACAATAGAGGTTCATTAGAGCCTGATCTATGTAATGTTTACGTACAGTATGTGAGAGGAGGACGCAGACTGTCCCTGTCCATGGTGCTGATGCTCGAGCTCTACTTTTACCAAGTTACTCACAAGAAATATTAAACCACGTTTACGTTTCTGTTCACATACGTGACGCGGCTGGACTGAGCAGCGGCTAAAGTAGCAAAACTAAGTCATCAGATGACGACTCTGACCTGCTGCTGGACTTCACTTCTACAGACTGGCGGGTTTGGTGGGAAAAGAAAACACCCCGACGAACCGCGACAACACGGCAGCAGTCAGAAACACACGTTCAGTTCACGGGCTCGCATTTTACAGCAAACGTGACACCGGTTATAAACACGTCGTTTTTATATGGAACGAGCAGAATTTCCTCACCTCTGTCGCCATAATGCAGTGAGAGGCTGCAGCAGGGTCTGTCCCGAGCAGAACACGACAGCTGTGGGCTGAGTTAGTGGGGTTCAACACGACTACACCGAGAGGGGGGAGAGAGAGAGAGAGAGAGAGGGAGAGAGAGAGACTGGGCAGGCGCGTGCACGTGCACGTGTGCCTGTAACTGCGGGAGGGCAGATAGAAGCAGGCAGGAGAGCTAATTATATGTGATGAATTTCTATTAATGCATGAAGTCAGTGTCGTTTCCTCCTGTCTCCAAGGTCAAGTCTTCACACCCCGTCATTACAGAGTTTAATTGGCATAAAAATGTGTTTTTTTATAAATTGGTTTTAAGTGAAAAACCTGAACAGAGCAGATATTTAGATGAAAACCAAAACATTTAAAGGTGCAGCTTCTAAGGTTAAGGAAAAATGTTTTTGTTTATACATTTCATGAACAGAAATGAGAATTATTTATAGATATAAATGTTGTACATTTTGGCCTTTGGCCTTTTACTGGTACAACCAACATTCAAAGTGAAATTGAAACTGTTTTTTAACCAAGATTATATCAGTACTACAGTGAGAACAGATTCTCACACCGATAGTTACATTATTTACACTCAGAGTTCATGTTTTATTGAAAAGGTCATGCTGCACCTGGTCACCCTGAAATTCACCATCAAAGAGCGCTGGCATTAAAAATGGAACAGATCGCACTTAAGATTCCACGTCGCCACTTTCACTTTACTTTTAAGAACGGAAATGTGTTCCGTTTATTTATTATTGATGAGGTTTAAATGTGAGTTTGACTTACAAATCTGAACTCATCCTAACAGCCTCCCCTCGTCTGTCCCGGAATATGAATTAGTTTTGGCAGCATTAAAAACAAAATCTTTATTTTATAAATTCTCCTAACACCGTCATTTGTGACTCACTCCAACTGTCACAACTCTTCAAGTTCCCTGGAGGAAGAGAGACATGAAATCACACAGAGATGGAATGGAAATCCAGACAGATATATTCACAAAAGACACAAAAGAGTTCAATAATGGAGAACGATTTCCAAAAATAACATGAAAAAGCCTCGAAGGAAACGACAACGGCACAAAGTGATATGTTTGTCAGGATCCTGGTTGAGTCCGTTCAAAAGTGGATTTGAGAAAAAAAAAAGAAAAACGGAAAGCATATCTAATCCTGCACTGGCACAGATTCCTGGCAGGAAAAGCGTTTGTGTTCAAGTCGTTTTTCTTCATGCATGTGAACATCCGCTCGTGTGTTATCTCCTCCAGGCTTTCACACACACACACAGTCAGGCACGTGTGGTGCTGTGAGGGTCTTCACACTCGGACTGATTCAAGAGCTTAACAGAAGAACAACATGACGTTCTCCACTGCACTGATAATAGATCTGTGATGTTGTAAATCGCTTTAATTTCCTGTCTTTGATAGAATGCGTCACAGTCCACAGCTCTGTGATGGACTAACAAACTGTCCAGACTGTAGCCCGGCCTCGGCCAAGGACTGTCTGGACTGGCTCCAGCCTCCTGTCAATCATTCAAGGATGAAAGGCTTGGAGATGGATGACTGCCCAAGGATGTCAGATTCAACTGAGAACAACAACAACAACAACAACAACAACAGCAGCAGCAGTGGTGAACTGACCATTAGTTATGATTGGTTTAAATGTAACTGATTGATGGTGAAGGTCTGGTTCAATGTGTAAAAGAGAAGCTTCAGAAACCAGTCAATTTGGCGTCATCCTTATAAGTCATGTCTGTTTTTCCATGCGTTTGCAGTTTGTTAGGTCACATGACCAGCTAGCTACGATGATTGAGTTAACTTTTTGGCACGTGACGGTTGAAGATGACGTCCACTGAACAAATAAAAATGATACTTTGTCAGTGACAAATCAGCAATTCTTCTCTATTAACTCCAGGAGATTGTGTGTGACATCATGAAGATGAATTTCATACAGTGTGTCTGTTGTATTGGTAGCCGTGGTTTGCGGTGAATTTATAGCGTACAGTTCAGTGTCATCTGGTTAGACGGAGAGGACAGATATCGAGTCTGGGTTTTGACTGATTGTATTTTGGTTTTCCAGGGGCTTCAAACCAAGTGAGTAAAATTACGGGGTTGTTACATTCAAATCTGATTCATGGCTCCACGTTTTCAGTCCTATTCACACTGAGAACGTAATGAAAGCGGTGTTACAGCATGTCGTGGTCTTCAGATGTGTCTGAATGTGCACTTCAGCAGAAAAATAATAACTTGGCTGCAGCGGGGAATCGTAATAACGACCCACACAAATGTACATGCGCACACAAATATAAAATATAATCATATACTGTGGACTCTTTCACATTTCTTTCGCCACTGAATATTTATTTCAGCGAAATGACCTCGGTTTCCGTTTCTCGCCAAACTGCCAGTTTGTATTTGAAGCCTTCGCTGCAGAAACGTCAGAGAGGTTGATATTGATGCCGCGATGGGAAGAAAAAAAGAGAAACTAAAGAAAACACCGCAGACTATTACTGTGGTTTCTATTTTTTCCCCTCGTGTCCTCACGAGTCGTTCAGGCAGCATCATGAAGCACTTTTCAGGTTTCGCTGGTTTCTGTGGTTTCGTAATAAAATCGTCGCCTGAGCTGTGAAACGGAGTTCACCCTCAACAGTTCTTACACTTCATCAAACGCTGTCCCAGTCTGGCCCAGTGTTTAGTCTACACAAACACAAAAAGTACCATCCAAACCAACATTGTTATTACACTAACTTTCCATCTGTATGTTGATATGAAGCAGCATTTGGAATGTTTAGCACAGCGAGCATGTGTCTCAGAATGACCTCCGTCTTACATGTTCATGTAACACATACAAAAAACCAATGCAGAGGATTTGTCTCCGTGCTCACCATGTTTTTTTTTATCTCCACTTTCCCTGGGCCTCGAGCCACAGCAAACAGCACTCGTATATTGACTTAACCGCAAGTTGAGAATCTCACAGACAAATACCCAAACACACTCTGGGGAGTTGATTCAAAGAGGTTTTGTCCTCCTCCAACATGACAGGAAATGAGAAAAAAATCCCAAACCTACTACTTTAAATTGGAATATTCAAATGCAAATAAATATCTGTTCAAAAACACTCACGAAAAAGTCATCTTTCTGTGCAACACGTCTGAAACACCCTGAGTGAGTGACTTGGACTTTCACCACAGCCGACCTGGCCCTGCAGGAATGTTGATCTGCCTCAATCAAACCTGAGTTCATCTGAGAGCCAGCGCACGGTCTCAGATCTGATATCAAACTGGCGTCGGACCCGCTGAGCTATCGGTTGACTTTGCACAAGACCTTGTTGAAGCAACTCGATCAGCTCAGTTCACACGTAATTACTGGAACAAGCCACCAGGGAGAAATGAAAACAGGACATTTGGGAGAACAGAAATTGACAAAATCCCATTCATTTGATCTGTAATCTGACTGTTTCAGTTCTAGATTTAAAGGAAGACAGAAAAAAGACAGGGATAAGACACAATAAGAAGCCAGCTGTACTCTGGATACGGCTCCAAATATTAAAATACAGCTGAATATGACACGTGGAACGGTGCAGGAGGCAAACAAATATCTTTCTCTAATAAAAAGGAATAAAAACTCAGGGCCGAAGCATCAACTGGATTGTGTTCCTCGGAGCGAACGGAGGACGTGAGGAACGATCGTAAGGAAGGACGCAGATTAAATGAGAAGTACAATCGATAAAGAGGGCGTGGTACAGTACAGTACAGTACAGTACATTTAATCAGGAGGAAGACAACAAACCCAAAAAAGTCGTCTTGCTCCTGGTGGCCTGGCAGCACCAACTGGTATGTTGAAAATGTTGTGAACAAAGATGTTTTGGGCAGAAATGAAACCATTTGAAAAGCTTTTGTTGCAGCCTGACCTTTGTACTACGCCCAGTGAAATACTACTGCAGGCAGTGCTTGTTACTCACTCTACCATGAAGCAGTGATTCATGAGGCCGACGTTCATCCTTTAATAATGACAAATGGGAACCGGTCCACGTGACTCTGTGTTTTGATTCACGGTGACACCAACGGTCGATCGTGTTTCAGGAAATCTTTTCACCGTCGTTCAGAGTAACACGGTAGTTTTCTGACTGCATGCTGCTGCGGTGGTGGACGACTGTGGTTTTTAACTGCCAGAGGGAAGAAGATTAGACAAACGAGCCGAAGACTCTCGCCTCACTCGTTCCTGCTCACTGCAGCGCACACAGACACACACTCACAGAAAAACATCTGTCTCCGCCTGCCTCGAACACAGAGTCATGATGTTAACAAGCAACTGTGGCTGTCTTTCTGGTGATTATGTTTGTCAAGATTTAATTAAAGTATCTTTACAAACCCACAGAACGCACCAGCCACGCTGATGTAAACACTTTTTTATTTCCTCACTTGACAAGTCTGTCAGTGCCTGCAGGTCCGTGTCAGACAGATGTGGGAAGGCCTTTGAGAAAAGAAAACTTCCCACTCTGACAGTACACCGAGACGTGCACTGATTTCCACTGAGCTAAAGCAACTCGAACTGAGGTCCCCTATATATTTGTCTGGTCTGTTGCCATGGTTTCACTCACCTCAAGACGAATCTTCAAACTAGTCCCAAAACTACTACAAATTTTTAGGGTAAAAATATATGTATATACAGTATGTTTGGATCTACTGTATATACATATATATTTATATATTTTTTTCTTATATTTGTGCATACATATATGTATACTGTATATATACAGTATATAATAATACATATATTGAAAAATATACATGTTTATCTAGTATATTGATACATATAGACACATATTTTCCACCATTTGTAGTAGTATATATATTATGTAATATATATAATATATAATATATATATATATATATATATATTTATATATGTAAGTATATGAAAAAAGAAATTCTCTTCCTTATTTAAAGGGCCATAGAACTAAATAAGGCGGTTGTGTTGAGCTCGCTCCGTGCTTGTTGTTTCTGTGTTGTTTCCAGGATCAGAGGAGTTAGATTACATGGAGTTTATTTTAAGAAGCCAAACAA